GGCGGCGCTGGTGGCCTGCGGCGGCGGCGGCGGCAGGCCCGGGGGCGAATGGGGCGCGTTGTTGCGGTCGACGGTGGGGCTGATGATGGGGCGACGGAGATCGGCGACGGGGCTGAGGATCCTGTGAAGATCGGCGGGGAAGCGGGCGGCGGCGGTGCGGTGGTCGCTGGTGCAGGCGGGATGTAGGTGTACGTCCTTGATGGCGGAGGCGGCGGCGGTGCGGCATCGGCCGCAGGTACGGGGGTGGCCGGCGAGGGCGCCGCGGTGACCGAAGAACCCCCCCCGACCGGTACCGGCGCCGGCGCCCCTGCCCGGCGGTTGACCCACACGACGTTGTTGGTGTGGGCGAGGCGACCGGTGTCAGCGCGGAAAACGACGGCGGTAGACGTCGAGTGGTTGTTGGCGCCGTGCAGGTAGAAGCACCGCGCGGATTGGACGTCCGCCTTGGTGGCGCGCTTCACGCGCATCATCCCCTCCTGGAAAAAAGGGACGACGGTGAGGTGCGGCTTCCGGCCGAAGAACCCCTCGAAGGGCGACATCCAGCCCAGGCTGGCCTTCGTCGCGGAGCGGTTGAAGCAGGCGGATGCCCACAGCGCCGACGCGAGCCACAGGCGATGTCCGTTGACGCCGACGTTGGGGATGGAGGAGAGGTCGACGTGGCCCATGGCGAGGATGTGGCGGCGCGCGGCGTGGTCCCCCTTCATGGCGCGCCATACGGCGCCCTCGACCACAGCGTTTTGCTTGGGGGTGTCGGGGGCGGTGTACTCGCGCCGAATGCCAGCAGCGTCGCAGAACGAGGTGAACGCGGAGCCGGTGAGCTCGCCGCCGTTGTCCATGCGGAAACACCCCGGAGGGCCCATGCCGTTCATGTCGGCGAGGAACCGCTGCACGAACTTCAGGGTGTCGCTCTTGGCCCGCATCCCGTACCCCCGTTGCCACCGCGATGCGCTGTCCACGAACATGATCAGGTACCGGGAGCCGTCCAGCGCGTCAGAGAACGGGCCCGTGAGGTCGATGTGGACTTTGCCGAACGGTACCGCCGCGCGGGTGCCACGCCGCGGCACCGGTGCCCGCCTGCCCTTCGCCTCCACGCAGCCCACACATGGCTGCATCTCCCCCACCAGTCGTACGCCCTGCTGCTTGGCCGTTTCACGCATCAAAAATTCGTTTACATGGCCGGTGGAGGCATGGAACAAATTAATATCAATGGTTGGCGTGGGTTTTACTACCGAAAACGGGTAAGCACCAGGGGCGATAATCGCCAAGGCATGCGAGAGGAAGGGGGGAGCTACGGTTTGCTGCTCACTGCATCCAGCAACAAAACCCTTCAGGCAATCCAATTAATCACTCATCACGGCAAACGCGGGGGGAGGGGGTGTTGCAGAGTCGCAAATCAAGCGCATCCGGAAAAAAATCACCCTGTGGGACCGAGTCTAGTCCATCCATCAGGCCTACATCAAGGAACATGCTCATATCCATGAGAAGCAAATGGTCCTGGGGGATGAGGGGGTTGATCACAACTTCACGAAAATCGCTCGGGTCAACGACGGAGGGAGAACCAATCTCAGACGACGCTACGGCAGCTGTGATTATAGGCTGGTAGTCGGCAATA